ATTGCGTGAGTTAAGATCAAACGGTTCCATACGCATATCCGTGAGTGATAAGGGTGGCGAATTCGTAGTTATGTCACAATCGCTAGACCGTGCCATAACGGAAATTCATTTGCGAGGACTCCACGGTTTATCGTCGCGTGTGCGAAAAGGACTTTTCATCACAATGCAAACGACTCAACCGTATCTGGTTGTGCATAGGAAAATCTGCAGGACTCGATGACAAGTTCATTAGTAGACTCAAACTGGACAACCCGAACTGTCCGGTTTTCTATAGCCTTCTAAAGACCCATAAGCTTCCCTCCCATAGAGATATGCTGCCAATGCCAGCGGATACATATAAGATCCGCCCTATCATAAGCTGCGTGGGTGGGCCTACCGACCGAATATCATGGTTTCTTAACACCATCGTCAGTCAACTTCTACCCATGGTTCCCTCTCACCTGCCAAATACGAATCATTTCCTTGAACAGCTACGGCATTGTAATATCCCAAACAATGCTGTGGTAGAGTCATTTGATGTTACATCGCTTTATACTAATGTCCAAAACGAGCAAGCCCTTCAAGCATTATCCGAAATGCTTGACAGGCATATTGCTAATATACGAACCTTTGGACTTGGTAAAGCACACATAATGACTCTAATCAAGGAATGTTTGAACTGTAACATCTTTAAATGGGCAGGTACATACTATTCTCAAATTAGAGGGCTAGCCATGGGTCAGCGTCTTGCACCAGTTCTCGCAATCTGCTTTATGGGCAGAATAGAGGAACCGGTGCTGGAGCGCTTGCCTTTAATGTACTGTAGATACATAGACGACTGTTTCATCGTAACATCAACACAGTCCGAAATGGATGAGTGTTTCCGATTGATGAATGAACAGTCACAGTACATTAAGCTGACACGAGAAACCCCGCAAAACGGTTGGCTGCCATTTCTCAACACGCAAGTCAAGGTATCCAATGGTATCACTCGAGTTAAATGGTACCGTAAGAGCAGCTCGAAAAACATCCTGATTCACGCTACATCAGCACACCCGATTGCTGTGAAACGCGCTGTTGTCCGAAACATGTTCCGAACGGCAACGGGAATGTGCACGGGAGATGTAGAACGACAAGAATCACGAGAGCTTGCCACAAAAATAGCCGTTATGAATGGCTATACGGAACCACGTCCCTCGGGGAAGGCAGCATATTGGTCCACAGGGCGTACCGCGTCGAAACAAGATACCTTTATGTATCCCCTTCATTTCTGATGTGGTAAGCGCTGCAATCAAACGGAGCATAGCAAGAGCACAGCTGCAGGACGATGTCCAGTTGGTAAATATACCAAATGAAAGCATCAAGCAGCAGCTGGTCCGTAACAGGCTCTATGACAAGCAGTGCATATCAGAAAATTGTGTTACTTGCCCACACGGGGAAAGACTGGTGACTGTGCGGCAGTTGGGGGTGAATCATATTTGCTCCCAGTGTAGGCGATAGTAACCTCCAGATATTATTGGGGGAGACAGGAAGGGTCTTGGCTACTCGTATCAAGGAACATCTTGCTAGCATGAGACGCGGTACCCTTACAACTGCTCTTGGGAGGCATAAGGTTGTGGAACACATGATGGGATTGAATTCGAAAATAAAAGTGAGCGTGTGCTGGCAAAATGAGACGAATCTCAGGCAAGCGCTGAAGGCATTCTTGGATATCTCAGCTTAGAAACCCAGATGGAACAGACGAGGATGAGTGTCTGGGCATCACAAACGATCTGCTACCATTCTATAAGCCGCACTGGCAGCGACTGGTTAGAAATGAAGGAGCGTAGACGCTCGTCTCGTGATATGTCATTATAACGCGGAGACGTACGCATTCTTCATTTTTCTCCTGCAGGCTCTAGTGTGGCGGGGGACCTATTCGCTCATTAACTTTGGAATCACTGGTGAGCTCTCCGTCTTTGCGATATTGCGTCTTCGCTGGCGTGGGGTTCTGCTCGACCGATGACGTTGGAACCGCTAGAGTTGACGGAGCGTGCTTGGTGGGTGTAGGTTGCAATATCTGGATACTTGAAGCAATTCAGCGGCCTCTGAAACCGAGATTAAGTCGAGATACGTTGGCAGCATTCTTATAAAGTTCACTAACAACTCGTAAGGACACAAGACTGATTAGAATCTCTACTTACCAGCTGTTTTTTTTTGCCAAACAAATACTCCAGGGGCGCGGAGGGAATATAGCGATATGGAGAAAAGGAAAAAAAATTTGAGCAAAGAAAGCAGCAATTTTTACAGGCGCGCAATAGGACCCGGCCCCTGTGCTGGCGATAACAACGTACCAATGTGGCCTATATATGAAGGTGAAGTTGCACTTCTATAGGCAGACTCGTATCCACCTATGTAAAGGATCTCATATTTCAGAGGTGAACTTGAAATCGCAAAGTGGTCAAGGAAAAAAACTACTGAATTCTCAACAGCTAAATAGAATGGATAGTCGTTATAAATGTTCATACAGTTGCCACCAAGCGGACAAATATCGACATTTGCTTTGTCTGGTGCACATTTTCCACCAATAGTAACATTCATGTACCTAAAATTGAGGCAGCTAAACGACTCACTGCACTAATCTGAATCAAAAAACTTTACTTGGCAAGCTTCTTCAGAGCAAGTTCCCTCTTCGAAGAAGTATTGCAGTTCGAAACAAAGCCGAATATACCAGACTTCCTTTTCGGGAAAGAAAAGTCTACGCGAAAATCCTAAACATAAACTCTCCCTCGTCAATTAGTCGCCAACATAAACAAGCAAAAGAAAGCTCTTCTTTGAGCCATTCAACAAATGGTCATGGGCGCTGCTCAGCTTCGGGGAGAGGGGGGGGGGCAGGGGGGGGGGGGGGGGAGGGAAGCAGTTCGCACTGCTAATTTAATTCAAATTACATGCCTCATCTTGGTAAGACCTGTAGGCACGTAGCAAAGTATAGATGGAGCTCATGCTCTTTACAGGACTAGTTCGGGTAACTTATTGCAAGCGAAAAGCAATAATTCGATAGGCACAGTTTGTCACACTATGTGGCTCCAAATCGCAGAACTAGGCTGGCTGGCTACGTACGCGTTTTTTTTAGATGGCGGCGACTTTGGTAGGACATTTCCATTTAGAGACAACTATAAGCATGTCTTTGTTCAACGCGCACGCACGCGTTGAACAGTGTTCAGTGCTCACGCACGCCCATGCGTCTCAGGAGATATGGAGTGTAGGGAGAGGGTCCAGACGATAGGAGAAAATTTATAAGAACTGAAGGGACGAGCTGAAGCTGCTCATAAACTGTGATAGAGTGGAAGTGGCAAAGATAATATCACAGGTTTTTGTGGAACATCCTTCAACGATTCTTCTACCCTTAACCCCCCGCCCCCTTCCCACTCCCCCTGCCTCACACTTGCAGTGAATCGATAGTGGGTCTACAACAAAATAAAGGCAGTTGAAGAGGGCTCTTAAACAACTCACGGTGAACTTGAAGCCTTTTTCTTCGGCTACTTTCGCGGGGAGGAAATATCCACCATATTTATGAACAACATCTGACGACAGCAGATATGTCTCCGTCCAATTGAAGAAATTCACTGGAAGTTCCTTGTTAGAAGCAGCACTGGACTTTCAAAAGTGATATGTGGGCCATTAGAAGGTGGCAGTTTTCCCCTCACCTCCCGACCCTCCTAATATTCCTCACATTCGAAAGATGACTAAGCTTCATTATCGATTGTCCAAAAGAAAACAGCAAAGGTTAACACATCCATTGACCCGGCTTCCCGTGTGTTCACGCGAGATCAGGGCCTTTTATAATACGTGTTTGGCTTGCACTTACGGAGATAACATAGTTGGACGCCTCCGTCCTTTCCCTTCCGAATCTTGGGCTCATGGTTACAATGCAGACGAGCCAGAGTTGCGATTGGGTAATTTCGCAGAGAAAAGAGTCTCCACAAAGCGTAAGACCTGGTTTTTAAGAGGGACAGATGCTATAGAGTGACCCCTTCCTCATCATCACAAACCACCACCAACTGCCTCGAGGCCCAAACACTTCGGATGAAATGACCTACACGGTACTGCGTGCAATCCACTATTCAATGGTGTTTCCATGCTCATGAACACATATCGCTGATGCGGCAGACGGTCTTCTGCTTCTGGAAGAGGTCCGTCAGCTATGTCGGC